TAGGACAAATTGGTTTTTCATTAACTCAACTTCTCATCAAAATCTACAAAAATATGGATGCCTCAGATATGAATATTTTTAAAGAAATTCGGATAGTTAATATCATTTTATCAAGCTCGGATCTGACACAGAAGCTTTTTGCACTTGTAAAATCAGGCTCTCTAATAGACATAAAATATTTTGTCAGAACTATTAATTGCCAATATCGACAATGATCTACAGAAATCTTTATTATTACATTTCGTTTGTACATTGACATTGTTACTATTAATTCTGGAGGGGAAAGTATAACTTGATCGAAATAATTTTGATAGTAAAAGGAAATTAGAGTAAGAAGTAGTGATAATTTACAGAAGTGAAGTTTTAATTACAAATTTTAAGCATTTATAATTAAAACAAGGGTTAATAAAAAACTTTTATAATATTTGCATTTATAATTATAATAAATAATTTCAACAATTTTAAATTAAGGCTTATGAGATCACGAATAATGCAAAATAGTATGCAAATATTACTTGATAGAAACAATAAAAAAAAGTCAACATAATAACAATAATATAAAAGAAAACAAATTAGACAATAATTAAGAGATACTGCATTCTGTTTGGCTGGCATTTTTTGAAGTTTTATTTGTTAATTGCTTGAGCCGTTCAATAGCTTCTGCCCGACTTTTATGGTATTCATAATTTCGACAAATAATTGGCAAATTATCATGGCGAAAGCCATATTTAAGATTGTGTTCTGGTGCCTTGACATAAATATAAGTACGATTATCATAAGTGATAATACCTGTATAGTGAAGCATTTCCTTTGCATTCCACAGAACTCCATCTTGGGTTGTTAATAAACAATTCTTTTTATTGTTGTAGTATAATCCAGAAATAAATATTTGAGTAGGATCCAGAGTAAAATCTACTTTCATTGAACCCACGTAAGCAAATAATTTTGCTGAAATAAATTGAGCTAATGTTTCGATAGATTCAGGTTCAATATGTGATATCTGTTCAATATAAATTTCATTTATTTTTTTTGCAACATTTTTAAAAAAGGATTTTATTGGATCAAGTTTATTTTCCAATATTTGTATAATTTGCTCAGTCTTTGTCCGTACTCTTTCTGTATGTATGGCTTGAACAATTTCTGCCATTCCTTTCACAAAGTCAGCTGGGTGAAACTCTGCTATGACTTTAATTGTTTCTGTAGCAATTTTAATTTTGTCATAGGTTTCGTGTTTACATTTCCATTTGTTTAGATAATAATTAAACCTTGCTAATAATGCATTAGTCATAGCATGATTAAATAAGTCATTATTATTTCTAATTAAATAAACATCACCCAATTTCGATTTCTCTAGCTTGTTCAGTGCCCAAAAGCAAAGATTATAATTGAATTTAACAGTGTCATTCCCAAAAAACTGAAATTCATCTAGTAAGTCTTTGTATAAACTCTGTGCTTCTTGATAAGCAGCTTTTGTTCTTATATTTTGTTCCTCCAGATCGTTACAATCAGATTTGTTAGACATTTGTTGAGAAAGTGCATATCCTAATCGCCTGTAAACGGATGCGCGACGACCTTTATGAGGATCAGTGGTTGTTGTTTCCAAATAAGTTTGATAACAGTTAATGGCAAGATCTCTTTTCTCTGGATCATTTGATTTTAGCAATATATCTGCATACTCTTTGAGTGCTTGGGGATTATTTGTTTTGTTATATTCTTCTTTTTTCTTATCAAGTTCTTGTTGAAGAATTTGTAGTGAATTTTTATCAATTTCCTCAGGCGGATCTTTTAGACATTGAATTTTATCTTCAATTTGTCTTAATAATTGAGTAGAATCTTTAATATAAGTATTTTCTTGGTTTTGATAAAAACTTTGTTGAATCAGGATTGATTGAATTACAGCTTCACGTGCCAAAAAATAGTATTCCATAGCCTCATTGATTTCTGCCATATAATAAAAGATTCTACCCGCAGTTCTGTTATTATCACGTTTGTAATGTTCTCTATTAAATTTTAAAGCAAAGCGCAACTGGACATCAGCTTTTCTTAATGCATCAATTTTTTT